GAGTTGAAGTCCACCCGTCTTAAAGTTGCCAAGGTTGAGGAACCCTGCCCAACCAGGTCAGCGAGAGACATATTAGCTGCATTCATCCAATATATTAAACAGGGTTACTTTTAACTCTAGTTGATCTATATATGGCTTCGTGGGTTATGGGAACCCAGCTGTTGGGTTAATTTTGGGTCCACGTATTGTGCAGACCCTAGAAAAGGGGTTGACTCACAAACGGCGTTGTACAAACCTAACCAGTGTGGGCTTGGCGGTGCGGGATATAATTTCCATACCCCGCTGGGCAGCCCCAGCTCTTTTTAAACAGGTGTATCTGCATGTTGAAAGAGGAAGGGGGGGTCCCGGGGCACCCTCTTCCCTAGCTGAGCACAACCCCCAGCATCTCCCAAAATGGGGGTCTTCAACTTCTGCCTCATTGCTCCACCCGTGTCCCTTTTTCCATGCCCATGACAATTTTCTTTGTTATCATTATGCTGTTTACTTAACAAGATTTCTATACTGCTCCAGACCGTAAACGGTGGCTGAACACGAATAAAAACATAAAAGCATAAAATCACACCCCGTTCTTAAAAGACTAAGAAGATAATAAATCAGCCTAGCCGGCAGCAGAGACGAGAAGTCTGCAATGCCCACCTCTGCCTGCGTTCAACCCATCCATGGCCCAGTCACGGAGGCATCTGGCAGAAGCCGCAATGACGTCCTGGATGCCAGGGCGTCATCCTTCGAGTGGCAGGAATTATAAAATGTGTGTGATGACCGCGGGGAGTGCATAACCTCCCCCTTGCTCTCCTCGCAGACACCCATGGGGCTGGCAGGGGAGGAAGGGGGACAGCTGCCATCCTGTGTTGCATGCATGACGTCATCACACAAACGATACAGATTCTGTCATTTGCTTCATGCCATTTGCATTATGATATCACGATGGGGGTGACATCACGGGGGGCTCTACTGGAAGCCTATGTCAATAGCGATAGCTGCGGACTCCAGGTCTTCCCAGTTCTGTGCTCTCTCCCCCCACTTCAGTCCTGTGACAGCTGCCCTTCAGAAGCAGAAGCTCCTTTTCAGCGGTTACGACAACACGCACAATAGGATCCTTTCATACCGAAAGGGTTTGGAGGAAGCATTGTTCGCGCATTAAGAAGCCACGATTTTGCAAACAGCTCCCTGCCAGAGCTGGCGGCTGGCCCCCTGTTCAAAGCCGACCTCAATTTTCTGAACTTCAGCCTTATCCAGAGGCGGTTTGAAACGCCAGCATCTCCAGCCTGTTGCTCCATCGGCTCGTCCGTCAAAAACTTTGCACTTACGTAAGAAAGGTAAGATGCAGCTGGGGAGAGGGAAAACACCGTGCTTTTCACAAACACTTTGATTTGTTAACCAAGAAAAGGCCAAGATTGCTAACTTGGTTGGGGAAGGGGGTTTAGAGCAAGAGAAAAGCTGAGCACTCACATTAAACCAGTGTTTCTCAACCTTGGCAACTTTTAAATATGTGGACTTCAACTCCCAGAATTCCTCAGCCAACATGCGTGGACTTCAACTCCCAGAATTCCCCAGCCAGCATGGCTGGCTGGGGAATTCTGGGA